TCTCGCCGCGACAATGCTCCACGAATCCCGACTTCCGGCACGCTCCGTCACGTTCGCCGGGAATCGCTTCTTTTTCCATTGTTTTTATTCACGGGCCAATCGCGCTGGGTAATTTTCCGTTTTAACGGACGGAGGTGGCTTTTATTTGGGAGAGCTGACGGAAGTTTGATGAATTGGATAAAGGCTCAGTTTCTGTGAATTCGTGGGACTCCGGAATATTGCAGAATATTGTCACTGATAGAATATCGCAGGTTTATTATTATTGCGTTGGGAGTTGGTTAAATATCATTCTATATCCTTGGAGCGATAAAAGTTAATTTTGAAGAGATCTATTTCTTTGTTAATTCCTTGGGAGTGTTGGAATATCGATATTGAATTCTTGGAGTGATAAGGGTTAATGTTGAGACGATCTGTTTCTTTGCTGATTCTTTGGGAGTGCTAAAATTTTGATATTGAATAACAGGGAAATTTAATTTAATCATCTTTCATTTCCTTTCGTTAATAACATTCATATCTGTACTGTTCTTCTACCGTTACTCAAAGTTCCTACTCTACTGGATCCACCTCGCCAGTAATTCCTAGAAAAATCCAAAATCCGTGCGCAAAACGAGCCGAGGAACATTTCCGATCGTTCACGTTGGAACGAAGAATTCAAGAAACATTTACCGGAATAAACGGAACAACTCCTGATGTTCGGAACAACTCCGAACAGCCGATCTTCCTATCCTAATCTTCCGGCGTGGCGTATCGAACGCTGAAAAATCCGCAGCGGACCGCGTTCCCCTTCTCCGTTCGCGTCGTTATCGGAACTCTGCGCGTCTGGGGACCAGAAAAAGGGTAAAAAAACATATCGTTGTAATCGGGAGCCGCGAGACGCGACGATTTTTCCGGTCGGCCAGCTGTCCCCTTGTATTGACTTCCTCTCATCGAGATGCGCCGGAATAAAACCGGAGGAGAAGCATTCGATTCCGCTCGGCTCCGAATGTCGAGGGGTTCGGCGGGGGTGCGAGGGGACGGCTATTATTACAGGCTTTTGGGTCCAATAACTCTTCGGCTCTCACTTGTTGCTGTGTAGTCGTCGCGCGAAGGGCACCCCCGCGTTTCCCTTTTCACGATTTTTCGATGCTCGCGCGCCGTCCGACGTTAGGGGATGAAAATACGAATACGAAAGTGGTCTGGGCGAACGGGTTCGACTCTAGCGTCACGCTGATGTTTCGCGAAGGAGATTTTAATTTTTTACTGTCCCGCGTAGGGAACACTGAAGTCTGACTAACGGATTATTTTTAAGATGAAGGGGTGCTTTCGTCTAGGTTAGGGAAAGTAGAATTTGTATCTTGCTTTGATAAAAAGAAATAGTAATCTCGCTCTTAATTGGATATATGTGTCTTATAGAAGTATTTCACGTACCTAATTATTTTCTTTCTTGAACATTCCGACTGAAAACCTTCGAACATGCTGAATTATTTATTTCTAAAGACATGTGCGACGTCCTTTATATTTCCATAATAACAAAAAGTCCTTAAAGCCTTTATCGTGTAAGATAAACGATCCGGCCGGGAACTTTTGAAAGACACTGTATATCTCGCTACCTCTACAAACCAACCCTTAAGTAAGTACTCCTAAAAATAAGTTTATTGGCTTCCTTGTAACCGTATCAATTGAAATAAGCACAGTTTCCCTTTTATACACTGAAAAAGTAAATTACGAGTGAACGGGTTGAGGTAGTGGTGATTTCGGTTAGAAATGGCTATTTTCCGAATTTTATTGGAATGGGGGATATTTTGTTTAATGGGATCATGATGTAGAATAAGAAGACCGATGTCTTAATATTCAACGAGGTCATCTATCGGTAATCAACTTGCGACTCGAAGACCGTTGATTCGGGGAATCAACCAAGATGGATGATCGAGGTTCGGATAACCGAGTTCCATATAATCCAGGCTCCACTGTATTCCGATTAACGAACTCGCCCGAACAAGGCGAGCCGCCGCGCAGATTTCCATCGGCGGAAGGGATATTTTATATTTTCCAGTCGAACGGCCTCCAGAACGATTACCGGACGCTCGCGGGGTTAGAGGCGTGCTCTCGAGTGCGCGGCGCGGGGGTCGCGGGGAACGGCGGAGCGCTGATCGTTTCCGTTTTCCTTGAAATATTTAACGAAGCCCGGCTTGATCAGCGGGCACGGGAAGAATTAATTTTTCAAAGAGGCGGATAGGAACGCCACTTGATTCCCTCCCCTTTCGCCACCCCCTGGCCTTCCCGCGGCCGTAAATGCCATCAAAATTCCACGGGCGCCGGCACTCGATATCCAGTCCTCTCGATACCGCGATCCCGACCATCCATACAAATCGGATTTTACCAAATTGGAGTACAATTTTCACGAGCGCGTGGCCACGGCTGACGCGCGTGCGCGACCGATAACGACAACGCGGGAGAAAGGAATCGGCGCTGGGGCGAGAGAGAGGAGAGAGGCTGAAGAAAGTGGAGGAAGAAAGGAACAGAGAGAGTAAGGAAATTGGAAAGGAGAGAGAACGGGAGGCTGAAGAAAATGAAAGAAGAGAGAAACGGGGCGTAAGGAAATTGGAAGGGAGAGAAGGGGGAGGCTGAAGAAAATGAAAGAAGAAAAAAATGGA